CAAAAAATCTCAGATTTTTTCATATTAATGGCGATGGTAGAATTCCGTCACAAAAAAGCAACTTCGCCGTCGCAAAAAAAAAAAGGCGACGACAACGCCCTTTGTTGCGAGCCCCCACTTGCCATCGTTAAAAGTCAACTATTGTCGCAAAAAAGCTTTTGAGATGCCATTTTGAGTATTTGCGACGGCATTTTGCCGTCGCAAAAAGTCAAATTTTTTGTAGTGATATATCATAAAAAGAAAACTGATTATGAAGAATCATTGATTATATTTTCATAATCCATCACAATTAAGGATAATAGCAAGCTGTCCACACAAAGTTCAATTGATATAACAAAACAAAGTACATAAAGGCCATAACTTCTCTTCAGTCCACTTTATGGACTGAACAATGTTGTTGGGTCTGTGGAACTCATTACGGGTCTCATTTCGATATTTCAAACATTTAATGTGTAGAACTCGTCGAGTACTTCATCCAACAAAAACTCACATTGATCGGATAGCGATAACCCCCCGATCAGATCATATTTTTGTCAATGATAAATATGATTTTAAAAATAAATTATTGACAAAAATATATTCTGATCAAGTATTTATTGATATCTGATCGACGTGATTTTTTTTCAAGAATAAAATACTTGACGAACTCTACACATTTAACTTCAAATTATTGAAATGAGACCCGTGATGGACTCCATAGGCCCAATAATAAGTGGATTGGAGTGAAAGCCTGCCTTATTTAAAATAGCTTAAATTGGTGAATTTCACTATAGTGTATGGAAGGGTAATACTAGTGCCACAGAGATTTACTAATATTTCTACAAAATGTTTGACATGGGTGTAGCACCTATATAAAATATTTGATAAAAATATTGATAAATTTCTTAGTATCCCTAATAATTTTGTTTATGGAATGAATGATGTAGAATTTATTAGTAAGAAGAATGTCCAGATTGCAACCTCATCAAACTAATGCTCTGTGCATTTGATACTAAAGAGTGACACTCATCGAATTATTCACTATGCTTGGTTATCACTTTTCAAAAATACTTTTCAGAAAATTTTACTTTTTTATTTTTCGTATTTTTTTGTTTTTACTGAATTTTTTTAATATTTTGAGCAATTTTTTTAATTTTTAGACATACTTAACATAAATATACTTAAAAAGTAAAAAAAATTTGAAAAAAACCTTTTAAAAATTCACTAAATACCAAAAATACAAAAAAAAAAAAGAGAATTCAGTACATTTTTTTTGTATTTTTATGTATTTATTAATTTTTAAAAATATTTTTTCACAAATTTTTTACTTTTTAGATACATCTAAGTAAGGTGCATCTAAAAAAGTAAAAAAAAATGTTTAAAATTTTAAAAATATTCACTAAAAACAAAAAAATACAACAATTAAAAAACTCAGTTTTCAAAAAACTTAATTCAGAAAACTCAAACCAAACACACTGATTAGTATTTTTTATTTTAAAAACAATTTTGCAACATGTAAAAAATATAAATATAGAAAAGTCACATAATAAAATTTCTCCAATTTAAAAATTGCAGCATAAATGCCTTTACCCTGGACAAAAATGCTACAATGTTAAGGTGCACATCGTATGAAAAGTAACATTTTTTATGGTGAAAGTTAAAATTTTTGTGATGAAACTTATAATTTTTGTGATAAAAGTTATGAATAACAAAATTATGATATGTAACCCTAAAATTAATCACAACATATATAATGTAACCACAATATTCTGAAATAACATATCACAACATGTCATAAGTTTTCTAATCACCAATTATTCGTAATACTTAGACTCCCATTCATGTATCAGATCCCATTCATAACATAAAATTTTCGGAGCTATTACCAAAAAAAATCCTAGATTGGAGCCTTGTAAGAAAATATATCATGAGTTTTTAATTTTGTCAATTTGAATCCTAATATTTTGATTTTTTTTTTTCAATCTAAACTATTACCCTATTTTTGTTAAGTAAAACAGACGGAAAACAGTATTTTGGTTATTAAACTCAATATATATATATATATATATGTAAAATGTCTAAAATACCATTTCATTGAGTTTAATGATTAAAATACTTATTGTTTTATTGATTTTACTTAACAAAGATATGCAAATGATTTAGGCCTCGTTTGGGAATAGGCTAATTTAGTAACTTTTTAACTATTTGGCTAAAAAAGTAGGTAAAAAAAATTTGTATGTTTGGGATGACTTTTTGGTTAATTATGAAAAGATGTGCAAAAAGTAGAGAAAAAAGAAAATCTTTGACTTTTTGGTATGACTTGTTGGCTTTTTGGCTAATTGGCTAAAAAAGTAAGTCCCCAAACGGGGCCTTAGATTGAAAAGTTAAAAATTTAGGATTTAAATTGATAAAATTAAAAATTCAGGATTTATTTTGTCTTTAGAGTCAATTTTTTTTTGTAATTTCCCCAAAAAACTACAAAAAAACAAAAAATAAAATAAAATAAAATGCAAAAAAACCCGCAAGAACTATAATTTAGCTTAAAACCAAAAAATATTTTTAGTTAAGGGGTAGAATAATATTGAGTGATAGCTTACGGAGGTAAAGTATGATTTATCTCTATAGTTGAAAGGGTGTTTTCGTCATTAAAGTTTAAATTTAAAAAAAAAAAAAACAAAACAAAATAAAAAAGGGGGTTAAATGTTACAATTTTCAATTCAATGGTGTAAAGTGATATGAGACATTCATTGAAGGGGTAAAAAGTAATTTTCCTTGGAAAAATTATAAAAAAAATAATTAGGGTTTGACCCTTATAACAAATTAAATTCTGAATTTTTTATTTTGTCAAATTAAATCTTAAATTTTATCTATTTATTTTTAATATACACTATTTATCTATTTTTATTAAGTAAAATCGACGAAAAAAATAATATTTTAATCATTAAATTATGTAGATATTTATAAGAATATCTAAAATATAATTTTTATTAAGTTCACTGGTTAAAATATCTATTTTACTTATTGAAAATAGATAAATAATTTGAATTGAAAACAAATTTAAAATTTAAATTGATAAAATTAAAATTTTAATAATTATTTTATTGTAAAAGTTACAACCTGAGATTTTTTTAGTCCCCAATTAGGGAAAGCAGTCACAAGCACTAACCAATCATATCATCTAGAAAATATGAAAAAACAAACATATCTACATCAACTGTCCACTCCAACCAACTATACATAACTACAAGAAGTCGGTTCTCTAACCAAAGAACACCATAATAAATCTCTTGAAAGGTTTGTCTATTTCACTCCAACGACACAAGCCACATCACCACCACCACCACCACCCGCCACACCCGCCACCACCACCCCCACCACCCACCCGCCACCACCCACTTGCCATCACCCACCACCACCAGCTACCCACTACCTACCGTCACCACTTTCCACCACCGTCTTCCGCCGCCACTTGCCACCACTTGCCATTTCTCACTCTTTTTTTATATTTTTAAATTTTTTTTAAACATTTTGTCAATTACCAAACGCGTTTGTAGTTTATGTTTTTCTAAAAATAAACAAAAACCAGTTTATAAAATTTTTGTAAATATAAACTGAAAACGTAAACGTTACCAAACACACCCTAAGTTTTTTTTTTTTTTTCATTTTTGTAATTTCTCCAAGATTTTTCTATTAGTAATTTTACTACAAAATAACGTGACCTACATTAAAAAGTAGCATAATATTCTTAGAAGAGTATGCACAATAGATTTCTCGAGGACTAAATTTTAACAAAGACATAGTTAATTGTTCAGTAGCACATTGGATTAATATTTTCACTTACAAAATGAATTTTAACATGTTTTATTAACCTTTGAATCCATAATTTTCCCTTATATTATTCGAAATTCTATGAAAATTTGAAGATAAAAAGTTAATTTCAACAAATTCACCTAAGAATCACCTGGCATTAAAAAATTAAAAATTGAAACGTAAAATCAAAAATATCCATTAAGATTCTCAAACTCATGTCCAAATTTTTTAATTTGGTAAAATTATATTTTGTATACTTTACATTCTCAATTCCACTTTCTACTATTACTTTTTAATTATGATTGTCAAACTCTTACACTTTTTGGTCAAGTGTCAATTCAACTCTAGCCAAATCTATTACAAAAATTGATAGAGAAATTGTCATGTGTGCTGTGGGAAAGTATTTTGTGAAAAACACCACGTGGCTAAGGTGGCGTTAAGATGCTAGCTGAGGTGCCACGTGGACTGGTCATGTTTACCAAGGTGACCGCGGCATTGTCAAGATGTTCTGTGGTAATGCCGGATTCTCGAGATATTCAGATAAGGGAAAAGAGTCCTAAATTAGAATAGGCTCTTGGTTTGGATAAGGATAAGGCTCTTGAGGAGTTTATTCCCATCTGTCTGAGAGTCCAAGATGAACATTGAGCTTGAGTCCAACGAAGTGAGACTTCTAGGGGATTAGGTCACTGCTAGTTATAAAAGTGAGGCACCCTTGTGGGTCTAAGGTATGTTCTTTCTTGTGAATTGAGTACTTGTGCGATATTTGTGAGAGATAAGATTTATTGACTTGATCATCGGAGTGCCCCTAGGTCGACGAACCACCGTGGTATTCTCATTTTCTTATTGGCATGTAGTTAGCTTAATCTATTCTACCGGTGCTCTCCAATTAAGTTTCCTGTTTGGTTGTGTGGTCGGAAATCAACACCCACAATTTGATGCAGTCTGTGGGAACTTAGTCAGGATAGATGGCCAACAACAGATAGGAAGTGAGAATTTGAGACGACATCCACAGTGAGGAGAAGGAACATGTGGATCCTAATGCCAGAAGAGAGAACAATAACGAAGAGGGACAGGGGGTTGACCCCGGGGCCAACAATCCTGGCAAGGGTTGAGGCGTAAACAAGAAGGGTAGCCGAGATTAATACTATAATGAAAGAAATTTCCAGGTATGGAAGGACAGACGCCTGAGAAGGGATGAGGAGATGAAGGACATGGCGAACAAGTTGACTGACCTGCAGACAGTGGTCAACTCCATGATGCAAAACAACGTTATGCAACCATCGTTCTCATTACAGGACACATCGGTACCAACAACCAACACTGATGCCCTAAAAGGAGGATAGAAGACAGTCCCAGTTGTCCCCAAGCATGGCAAGGGACAGGAAAACTCATATCGGTCATCATGAGTTGTCGAGTGAATAGAGTCAGTACGAGACGAGTCATAAAGGACACCACAGACCAAAGAGACCTATGTTAGGGGATTCTGGCAAATCCAAGACAAGGCCTCCGTTTTGATGGTACAGTGGATGAAGGGAAGTCCAATAGAACGCACAATTACATCGGAAGCAATGTTGAAAATGATAAAATCTATTGATAACTGAGCCCCCAGACGAACGAAGGAGGACCTGAGAGATTACCTCCAGAGAAAGAGGCATAAAACCAAGATCACATCCAACGTCCAGCCGAAAACTTCATTCTCGGTGGAGTTGGATGCTTTCAAGGTGCCGAAGAGGTTTCAAGTTTATAATGGTAAGTCTGAGTCGAACTTTCATGTCAGCTTATATTTAAATTCAATGGCTTTGTGGAGTGGAAACAAGCAACTGTTGTGCAAAGTATTCCCTTTGTCGTTTGGGAAATAGTATCAAATTGGTTCCATAAATTGCCAAAAGGGAGTGTGAAGAGTTGGGAAGGCCTGGCCGAGATGTTTGTGGCCAGGTTTGTTACCAACAAGTCGTAGCCATTGACGGTAGACTCTTTATTGGCTTTAAAGATTAGTGATGGTGAAGGCCTCAGGGCTTACGCCAAGAGATACTATGAGGTTTACAACTGGTTCTCGGCTTGTAACGAAGAGTTGGTGGTTGTTTCTTTGAAGAACAGCCTAGATGATGATATCTGCTTCGGTAATTGCTTTCAAAAACCCTACCGAAGAGCATGGAAGAGCTCATGGATATGGTGCAGCATCCGCATAATGATGCCTTGGTGGTAACTTTGAAGATTAGAGATTGCCAGGTGAGGCGCATATTGATTGACCGTGGTAGCTTTGGTGACATCATGTATGTCAGATGGTACAAGGAGTTTGGCCTCCACAAGGATGATTTAGAGCAATCTGACAACCTTATGGTCGGATTCAATGGGACGCCAACATGGCCTCTAGGAACTATGAGTCTAGAGATGCAGGTAGGGAGCAAGAAGGTAATAATAGAATTTAACGTGATAGACACTCCTTCCACATACAATATCATTTTGGAAAGACCTTGGTTGCATGTAATGAGGGTTGTGCCCTCAACGCTACACCAACTGTTGCAATTCCAAACTGAACAAGGGATTAAAGAAGTAAGGGGAGACCAAGTCCAGGTGAAAAATTGCTTCATGGTAGCAATGAAATATACTTCCAATGTAAGGGAATCAGAGAGTGCAGAGAATGAAAGCGAAGACCATGAGGTCTTGGATGATGTCGGCAAAGAGCTCGCTGACTAGAGTGAAAAACCCTTGAAAAAGGTTCTTGTACAAGAAGGAGATGATGATCGATTCTTTCTCCTTGGCCCTGGCTTGGCCGAAGAAGAAGAAAAAGAACTAGAGGCTTTATTGAGAGAGAACATAGAGGTGTTTGCTTGGACACTCTATGAGAACCAGGAATCAACCCCGAGGTCACCAGTCATAGACTTAATGTGGACAGGTCAGCTAAACCTGCCATTCAAAGAGCAAGGAGGTCGACATCGATACATGTGCAGGCAGTTGAAGAAGAAGTAGAGAAGCGACTAGCGGCACAAGCCATTCGAGAAGTGAACTATCCTACTATCACGCCCCTAGACTTGCCCTAAAAGTTTGGGCATGACCTATACGGAAACGGACATATACTCTAGTATACATAGTATACGGGGCCTTAACGGAAGCACTAGAACTAAAATAATATAACAAACTCCATTGAGCTACTTCTAATATGCCAGGATCACATGCATCATGAACATTACAAGAAGCAGTTACAGGCCAAAATTATACCTCCAGAATTAGTTACATATATATACATATACAGTCCTAGCCCAAGGGTCGGGCATATGCAAAAACATTAAAGTCATGTTCATTCAACCTTAAACGAGTAATTAAAATACAAATCAACATCTTAGTAAGGCTTCACAAAATAAGTGCTCTCGTCTAGTGCTTGGACTCACAAAGGTAGACAAAAAGGAACGGACGTCCTGGGTTAGGGCTGACCTCCTGGTTGGATACCTACAAAAATAGACATGGCAAAGGATGAGCCAAGCTCAGTGAATAGTAATACGTAACAAAGTGTTGCTTACCTTGAACCGTAGTAAAAATAATACATATAGTTTCGTAGCTTCTCAACACTTATTGAACCATAAATTGTGTCTAGCATGCTTTGGAAAGAGATAAGGATAGAAATATGAACTAAATGCAACTTTCCAATTTTTACTGAAAATGGATCTCCGCTCGAGCGCCGCTTTGGCCGCTTGAGCGGACTGTACAATTTAACAAAAATGCTGGGAGGTTGATTTTTACGCTCGAGCAGGAATTCCCTCGCTCGAGCGGACAGTGAAATTTCTGAAATTCTAAAATTCCAATTAAAGTTCCAACTTGGTAACCAAAGCTTCAAATATGTACTTTCGTATACTAATGCAGCATTCACATAACAAGTCTGAATATGTCCTTACTCATAATAGTCTTAGATCTTATCTTGGAACATATTGGCTTGAACATAATGTTTTGGCTTAAAGCCCTTGTATAGTGTTGCACAAGCCCTTAATCATGGTGGTACGAAGCCCATAAACATAGTGGCAGAAAGCCCTTGGATAAGTTGGCATGGAGCCCGTGAATCATTTGGCAGTAAGCCCTTGTAAATTGGCATTAAGCCCTTGTAACTTGGCATTAAGCCCTTGTAACTTCTTGTATGAACTCAAGAGGTGTCTCACACGGGTTTTAGCGGTGACTCACAGTGTAGCACTTAGTCCCGTGTAGCACTTTGTTTCATAACGTAGTTACTTATACCGTATGGCCATAGGCCCCCATTCTTAAAGAATGAAAACACTTCATCTTCCCCATTTCTTTATATACACATGTCAAAACATGGACGTAATTACATATCGTGTATGAACAAGATGCTAATGACAATCATTAGCTACATGTAAAGCATATTACTACTCATAGTGTTGGGATGACGTGCTACTTCCTCCCAGAGTGTGTCCTACACACATTCAAACTTGCACATTAGTTCTTTATTTCTTTGATAAATTAGGTCTTGATTCGTTACACTTCCATTGAATTTATAACCATCTTAAGATCATAAAAAAAATAATCTAAAAATAACTGAGGGTCAAGCACGCAAAATAGAACATATAATTTTTCCTTCCTTTCCGCTCGAGCGCTCGGACCTCCGCTCGAGCGGCCGTGTCCCTGTTTTGGGGCAGTTCGATTTCAACTTAAAATTCAGCAACACCACTTTATTATACATGCCAATCAAGGTAAAATTAATGCAATATATTGACCAAACTTCACTATAACATGAATTATCATCTAAACCACACAAAGTAAACATGATTAGAAACTTCATCACTTTTGCAAATGACCTTATGTTCATAAAACATGACATCTTATATATATGTATTTTCATAGGGTTAGCATAAAACTAAAGATTGAAGTGTAACTTTCATATAACACCTAAATTAGGTGACAAAACAACCAATTGATAAGAAACCTCCTTTAATCAACCATAATTCATACATAATACAAACCCTAAGTTGTCAAAACAAGAATTCATCCTTCCTTGAGCCCAAGTGAAGGTTAAATGGGTTGGATGAAGCTTACCTTGAGTTAAATCCCACAACTTTCCTCAATTTGGCAATCTTTCTTGTTGACTTGCGTTCCCCCTCCAATTCCTCTTCTCCACACTCTTCTTTTCTCTCCCAGGATATGTTGAATGGAGAAGTTCTCCAGTCTTAACTCAAGATATATCTATATGCTTATATAGATTTGAATAAAGACAAAATTTAATCGTTTAATCATCCCGAAATTGAAATTTTGTCAACGTGCTTAATATTACATAAAAAATTATGCTGATCACATATATAAAATCAATTTCAGATAATTAAGCCCCTAAGGCTTCCAATCTCTGATTCAAATATTCTAAGTGTAACAGATACGTTTCTTGGGGAACAGATAGACATCCTTAACTATGGATTTCACTTACCTACCCTTAATTTCTCTTGGAATTTTATAATAAACATTTAAAAGCACAAAACAAGGACTGAAAATATATTAGAAAGCATGTACGAGGGTCGGGTTATTACACCTGCCTAGTTGTATAATACGGTGGTGGTAAAGAAGGAAAATGGCAAGTGAAGGGTTAGCGTGGACTTCATAAGCTTGAACAAGGCTTGCTCAAAGGACAGCTTCCCACTGCTGAAGATTGATCAGCTGGTGGATACCATATCAGGGCATGGGAGGATGAGTTTTCTGTATGCATACAGAGGGTATCACCCGATAGCAATGTATGCCCCAGATGAAGAAAAGACAACATTTATCAACCCTAAAGGACTCTATTGCTACAGAGTAATGTCCTTTGGGCTGAAGAATGCAGTAACGACGTACCAAAGATTGGTCACCAAGATGTTGAAACATCTAATTGGGAGGACAATGGAGGTCTACATTGACGATATGGTCGTCAAGACTAAGCAAGCTCGGGATCATTTGGAAGACTTAAAAGATGTCTTTAACATATTGAAAACATATCAGCTTCAACTCAATGCCTCGAAGTGTGCATTTGGAGTTGGATCTGGTAAGTTCTTAAGATAGTTGGTAACTAGGAAGGGAATTGAAGTGATCCCAGATCAGATCAGGGCCATCCTTGATCTGAAGAGCCTGACGACAGCTAAACAAATACAGATTTTGACCAGCAAGGAGGCAGCCTTGAACAAATTCATTAGTTGGAGTTTAGATAGGTATAAACCATTTTTTCAGTTATTAAAGAAAGCCACAGACATCCTGTGGACAGAAGAATGCAAAGTCGCCCTGGCCAACTTGAAGAAGTACCTAACAGCCTCACCAGTGTTCTCAAACCAGGTACTAGGAGAAGAATTATTTTTGTACCTGGCAGTTTCGGACCACGATGTGAGTGCCATGGTCATTTGAGAAGAAGAAGGTGAACAACAGGATATATACTATGTCAGCAAGACCCTGGCAAATGCAGAAACCTGGTACCTACCTCTGGAGAACTTAACATTAGCTATGGTAATGGCCTCGAAAAAACTAAACCACTACTTTCAAGCCCAAAAAACTATGGTGCTAACCAAGCATCCACTAAAGTTCTGTTGCAGCATGGAGACCTAGCAAGCAGAGTAGCTCAATGGGCTACAGTTCTAGGTTAGTATAACTTAGAATTCAGGCCAAAAATAGCAATCAAGGGCAAAGTTTTGGCAGACTTTGTCGTAAAATTCTCTCCAAACGCAATCCCAAGGGAGGCACCGCTGAGCCGACGAGGTGATAGTCTTTTGTGACTCCCAGCTCATTGTAAATTAAGTAACGGGTGAGTACACAGCCCGAGATGAGAGGATGATGGCCTATGTCAAGGTGGTTGTCAAGTTGTTAACACATTTCCTAAGCTGCCGATTACAGCAGGTTAGCCGAGATCATAACAACCACATTGACGCCCTAGCTAACCATGCTAGTGCGATGATGTCATGTGAGGCATGGAAAATAATGGTGGATTATCTGTCAGGCCCAAGTATAGAGCCTCTGATAACAAAGTATGAAGCAATGTGTATAGAGATGGGCCCAAGCTGGATGGATGCCATAGTGGTATTCTTCATGGATGACAAGCTGCTAGAAGAAAGAAAGGAAGCGCATAATTAAAGTCAGCCATATTCTGTCTGTCAATAAAAGGCCATCTGTATAGGAGATCCTTCACTAGACCCAATCTGAGATGTGTGTATCCATCCCAAGTAGAGGACTTTCTATACGAGATTCGTGAGGAAGTATGTGGAAGCCATGTTGGGGGCAGATCACTTGCCTACAGGGCCATATGTCAGGGATACTGGTGGCCTTATTTACAGAAAGACGCTGAAGCCTATATAAGGAAGTGCAAGAAGTGCCAAAGGTTAGCATCTTTGATACACCAACCAGCTGCAGATCTGAATCCAATGTCTAGTCCTAGGCCATTTGCCCAATGGGGCATGGATCTGGTTAGGCAATTGCCCCAGGTGATTGGGCAGAGAAAGTTCCTACTGATAGCAACTGACTATTTCTCAAAATGGGTAGAGGCTGAACCACTAGCCAAAATCTGAGATGTGTGAAGAACTTTATTTGGAAGAACATCATCACCAAGTTTGGGATCCTAATAGCCATTGTGGCAGACAATGGCACCCAGTTTGACCTTAAGCTCATCAAAAACTTCTGTAAAAAGTACAAGATTAAGAATTACTATTCTACTCCTAACTTCCCCCAGAGTAATGGTTAAGCCGAGGCAT